TTAACGATTGATGTTGTTGTAGCATAAATTATGTTCATCGATTTTTCGGCTTATTTCACCATTAAATATTCTAACTTGTGTCCCTGGAACAGTTTGATATATATCGCATGTAACAAACTAAATGTTGATCGAACTTATTTTCAACATTTGATTCTCTGAAGCTTCCAAAACTTGAATCTCAAGAAATTACTTTCATTTATGAGGTTTGCATCCACTGAATGGGTCTTAGCGGTAGTAGGCTTCTTTGAATTTGTACAGTATGCTTCTTGGAGGGAAAGATCTAAATGGATCCCATGTAGCTACACCGCAGCACTAGTTCTCTACTACTTCTCAATAATATCCAGCAACCGCACGGAGGCGACTTAAAACTCTCTATAGTTGACGGCTTTCATCAAGACGCCCATGAAAATAGCGATTAGAAATAAAGAGACTGAAGACTTAGTTACTTAAAATAACGCATATTTAGCATTATTTTTATTCTCAAAAAAAGATAATTCCTAAAAGAAGATTTAAATAATTTTTATCGATTTACTTTTATCGATCCTTCGTTTGAAAGATTATTACTCGGTATATATAAATAGTTTATCAACTAAAATAAAATAATTCACTATATAAACGACAACATTAAACAAACCTTGAAATACCGGGCAAACAATAACACCACAAATAAATTTAAAAAAAAAAAACTTACAGACAATGGAATTCAACATACAAAACAACAAACTTTATGCACCAATTCCCATTTTCCCACATTTCTCATACAAAGTATCACTTCTTTTTTATTACGTATTATACTTCTGCTTTTAATTGTATTGATTTATTTGCTACACAAAAACAACAATTTGTATACAATAAAAAATCGTTTAACCAAAATAATACATACATATAAATTGAAATTGTCAAAATGTTTGCAAATACCAGCAAAAAACTACAATCAAAACTGCAGCGCTACTGCGAGCAAACCAACCGATCTCAGCTTACTTGTATGTATGTATGTAAGTACGTATGCGTATTGATATTCTTGTATGCGTGTACGTTGTGCTGTAGGTATGTGTGTGTGTGTGTGTGTGTATGGTTTAGTGAGGGCAATGTCATTGAAAAGATGAGTATTTCACTTAATTTGTGTAATTAACGTTATTTTTGAATCTTTTGGAATAAATTTTTTTTTTTTAATTTTTGATTTTCGATGAATTTACGTTATGCGATTTCATTACTTCTATTAAGCATAGCGCATACTTTTTTGTAGCTAACCTTGGTAAAAAAGCTGCTGATAATGGCTCGGTACTTAAAAGTACTTGAAGTACGCCTATGCTTAATTTCATTCAGGTGGGCAATTATGAAATAAGTATGCGGCATTAATAAGTGATTAAAATGCAAAAAGAGAGTATAGAGTGCATATGCTAATAAAAATTGATAGACTAAGCTACGCAGATGTAGAAAAATATATTTTGATTAATTAGTAGTTAGTATTGATTAGTTATTTATTGAAAATTTTCAAAACTGTTGAGTATTAAAAGCTTAAAATGATTCAGTTTGTTCAAAAAATAGTTTTAATAGCTATTTTAGTGCATTTCTAACTTATTTTGGAATTATTATTTTTTTGTTATGTATCTAAACAAACAAAAAAATATATATTTATATATGTATCTATTTTTGTGCATTATCATTTGAGTCATAAATTTATTAAAAAAATAAAAACTAACATAGTTATCTTTTATATTATTATAAGCATTTTTTTGTGTATGCTTATTTGAATAGCTTTTTCTTGGTGAAAAATATGTACATATGTATTTATATCTATACAGAGTTTTTATAAGAAAAAATTCTTAAAATTTGTACGCATTTTTTTTTTTAATCTTACCAAAAGAAATTAGCGAAGTGTAATATTAATATTTTTTATCTAAATAAAATAAGTTGTTCAAAATTATTTTTAAAAGAAAAATTTTGTCAATTTTTCATTTACTTAGCACACCTACAAACATTTAACTAAATATATATAATACCCTCAATCTGACAACATTTATTAGGTTAAAAGTACCGTTAAGGTGAAAGAAATTAATAATTGCCTACATACAAGTTATGATGTTAGTACAAATTTATTGTATAAATGTTCAATTAGACTTTTTTAATGCAGTGAAAGTGTGATTAGAAAGTAAATCATGTATTTGAAGGGTATAAGTGTTTTAGAAATAGTTTGATAAGAGATCGCATGCAATATAAAGCATTTTTTAGAAGTACAGTAAACACTATAAGCAGTAAAAAACTTTTGTCAATACAAAAATAGTAAAGTATATAAAAGTATAAATAAAATTTGCAAAACAAAACATGCATAATACAAGTACACTAATATACAGTTGAAATACATATATTTAAAAATTCTTCAAAAATCTGAACAATTAATTTACTTAGAACACACACATTTTGAGCCATTAACTAATTCATATGACGACATTTTTGTTATCTTTTCTATCAATTAGAATACAGCTAGTAAAAAAAACTAAATTTTTTACAGAATTTGTTACCTTCTCGCCGGAATCGCTAGGCAAATAAAATACCAACACCGTTAAAAATGTCAATGCAACACAGGGCACAATTAAATTAACGGTATAAAATAGTGTTTTGCGACGCATGGTGAGCTTAAATGTTATATCTGTGAAATAAAAATATTTCAAAGAGACTTGAGTTTATATAGATATATAATATTATACAAGATATTTTGGAAAAAATAATAATAGAACGCAATTCGATGGTTAATTGTAAAATAATATGCAAAATTGTTAACATTTTAGAGTAAATTTTTTGAAAGATACGCTAAATATTTTGGCTAGAATATAATAAAAATCATTAATATAATCTTTATTTTACCAGAAAACGGTTCCAATGTGTCTGGATAGTATTCCTCATTCTTAGTTGCAGGAACTTCAAGTATGTCCCATTCGACCGATAAGTAAAATTCACTTAAATCAATTCCGATTTGCACTAGATTACTGCCAGGAACCTATGTACGATAATTTTGAAAAATAGCATAACAATTAAATAAAGCAAATCAAAAAACTACTATAAAACCCAAAAAACTAATAAAAATGAAGAAATGGGGAAATTATGTATGCTTTCTAATACTTGTCGATGTGTTTTTATCAGTTTAATTAACGCCACTGTTCAAGTTTCATAAATATTTAATATTTAGTCGTCTGTTTGTATATCGTACAAAACTCAACTTTGATATTTGCCTGCACAGTTTTAAAACTTCATACTAAGAAATCGTTTACACTGCAATGTGCACGATAATATGGCCAACCTTTACCCGGTTATACGAAGATTCAAGAAGTAAGTAAGTTATCAATGGATAAATCATGCATCGCGAACGATATTGAAATAAAAGTTAACCCCTAAATGGGTTATTTTTTTTTATATAAAAAATTTAATATTTTATCAAAATCAATTTCAAATTTTTCAGTATTACAAACACCCTTATTTGACAAATATTGTCTGAAATTTTCTAAAGAAAATACTCAAAACTTGGTTACTATGATGGCATGCCCTCGGAAAAACGGTACCACCGCGTTGACAACAGCACTTCTTAAAGGATCATATGAAGTAAAAAGAAAAAAATGTGGAAAACGGTTGGCCTCAAGGGCCATCCCTGCAACTTCCCTCTAATTTCATACGCTAACGTTCAAATTTCGCTTTTTTCACTGCTTTTGAGCTCTTCGAAATTTTTCGTTTTCGATATCTAGCAAGTAAATCAATCGATTTCGACCCGGTTTGCGGCAAACGATGTGTTTCTTCAAGGTTTAGAACTGATTAGTTTTTGGATCGAAATTCGAAAAAAACGATTTTTCAAAATTTTTATTTTTGAGATTTCTCGAAATCTACTGGTCCGATTGGGTCCAAACTTACACGAAATTCAAGTGCAATGAAACCCTTTGGAATGCCGTTTAGTTTATTCAAATCGGTTGAGCAGTTTAATAGTTATAAGAGGGTCACATACATCCACACACACACATACATCCACACATACATACAGACATACGGACATCATCGTAGACATGTTCGGGGAAGCTTCCTCGACCCTCAGAACGTCGAGATCTGTTGAGAACTCGATTTTTGCAAAATGGGGTGAAACCAATATCTTCCCGATTTTTAGAAAATTTTCCATTTTCTTAGCGGGAAGTTAAAAATAAGTGTTTTAATTTAGACCATAAACTAGGTATTGAACGAATGAAAAAACAAAATTGAAAATTTCATTTTTGGCAGACGTTTTTACAATAAAATTCAAATTTTCTCGATTTTTTCTTAAATAGTTGTAATTGAAAAAAATTTCTTCATTCAAAACATATAAATTTTATCTTGAAGACCTATGTAAAATATCCATATTAATTAATCATTAAGATTTGTTAAGTAGTTCGCGAGAAATCTTGACAACCAACTTTGTAAACACAGTTTCGAGAAAAACGTGTTTAAAGGTGACCTCGAACGCGCAACTTTTCAAGACTGTATCTCCAAAACTATTACTAGGATCAACTTGAGAATTTAAGACAATATTCTAGAGATATTTTAGAATTAAATAACACAATAAATATATTAATATTTTTTTAAACCCAATCAACCCATGTAACCCCTTAACACAAATAGTTATCATATGACAGTTGTGTGTCAATTTCAAAGATAATTGATTGTAATTAACATGTTCATATTGTATATGTTTTCTTTAGCACGGTTTAGTTTAGCGTCGTTTATGACATTAGTTGATATCTTGTCTGGTCTCCACAAACCTAATAAAATGATTTCCTTTCCACTGCTTGGCTTTAGGCTGAGAATGTCTTTATGTAACTGATATGATCCAGGTTCGCTGATAGGTTGGCTTAATCACGTCGCTTGAACAGCTACAAACTCTCCAGCACCCAAATGTGGACTTAACCAGTATATAATTTTATAATAAATAACTCTAATAAATTTTTTTTCGATTTATGTGTAGTCATTTATGCATTTGTTGCTGCGGTTCTGAACTTTTCTGCAACTTTGGCCACACTTTATTGCTCAGGAATTCATATTCCCACTTGGAGTAGCACCTCGTCACTTTAGAGATCAAAATTTATAACAAAACCGAAATAATAAAGGAAAAACCCAATCAAGCAAAGTTACACTGGAACCTGTGGCCCCAGCAAATCAAACAAAACCTCCACCGGAGCAAGCGCACCGCCATTTTATTTATTACGATCTAAAAATTGATGCAAGCGTGCACATACACACGTACATAAAATATATAATCCTAACTTATTTTACCAACACTTGTGTGATTGTGGCGCATAAATTGCAAATATGTTAGCGGTGCGAGAATGGTTCTGTGGCTAAAAGTTGATGTGAGTATCTACAATTGTTTGTATGTATGTATTTAGAAAACAGAGAAACTAATAAAAAAAAAAGAGTAGCATAGCAAAAGTTAAATAATAATAAAAAATACAACTGAAAACATAAAAGTTACTTCGTTCAGTAACTCTGTGGCTTGCAGTAGCTTTGCATTCCCCTCTTGCCAACACTACGCTGGCGCTCACCTGATCCAAATGCTTCAAATCCACTTGTGCACCGTTGTATGTCCATGAACCGAATTTCATGAAGCAAATTTGCTCATCGTAAGGAAAATATTCGACATTCATTTCGCAGGAGGACTTGTAGATAGCTGGCGGCTCCCAGAAGACCTCGCCGGTGTATTTTAGTGTTGCCTTTGTCATAAGTGTTACCTGTGGATTGCACATATACGTAGACAAATATTTTACAAATGCATGTATGTTTGTGAGTATGGATATATGTAATTAAACACCATTTATTTAATATATTCTTAAAATTATTTTTGTTCTATTGCGGTTTTATACTCCTAACGCTTGTTTGTGTCACCTAAAACTGATCGGGATATTGGATCGTTCACAAAGTAATTTCCTTTGATGACAACAGCTGATCATATTGATTTTTTTCGCAGCCAACTTCACACTTAACTGCTTTACTGTAAAAAAAATGTCTTAATTTTTTTGGATTATATTGTAGTTATTTTTTGATGCCCCATCAAAGATGTAAGATCGAAAGCAGCTTTTTCGGCATAGTAGTAGTAGCTAATAAAACAGCAAACAGGTAAAAATGCAGTTCAAGCAAGGCGAAAGTTATGTGATGTGTACGGAGAAAATGTGTTGAAGTATGCACCACGTTCGGGAGGCATTTTGAAGTCGATATGGATAAAATAAAGTCGTTGGTCGATGCAAATCATCAAATAACAACTCGAAAGATTACTTAAAGATTAAATTTGTCTAACGCAACCATTCATAAGCATATGATACGTCTAGAATTAATTTCGAAGCTTGACATAGGGATTCCTCATGTTCTTACAAAACAAAATTTGCCTCGTCGCATCAACGACCGTGATTTGCTTATTAAACGTCAAAAAAGTGATTAATTTTCGAACCGGATTATAACTAGCGACACTAGTGGATTGTTTACAAGAATATAAAGCGCAAAAAATCATAGTTTAAAAAGGATAAAAAGCTCAAACCACTTCGAAGGCCGATAGTCACCAAAAAAAAGATTATGTTGTCTGTGCAAAATTTTTTAGATAGGGGAACCTTCATCTCAAACCAGGACGTCAAAAACCATGTGGACCAGTATTTTGCCTGCAAGGCATTTATGAGCGTGGTATCAATATCCTGCCCGAAACATGGGGAAATATACATAATAAAACATCGCACTAAAAATATGAATAAATGATCAGGATGACGAAACGAGTTGAATTCCAAGTGCAAGCGATATCTTCAGTAAAAATTTAGAAACAAGATTTTTATTTAATTGCGAGGGCCATCAATCGTTTAAAAAAGTTTTAAAAAGGTGAATGGCCCCGCCCTCTATTTAGTTTAATGTACATATATTCTAAACCATTCAAGCCATAATAAGCAAATTCGTTCGGGGCAAATATATTTGGCATCCCTAATGGGTATGGGTGAAAATGGGTAAATAACGGTTTTGTTAAAAACTACCAAAAGTGCGAAAAATCTATAACTAAATGCGCCATAGACATAGCGTTTTATACCCGAGTTGGTACGAGTGGGCTTTATAGGAGCCTGTGTCAAATTAGGACGTTGTGCGTGGCACCGCCCACATTTAGGTGAAAATTTATATCTCGAGACCTACTTCACCGATATCAACCAAACACGAAACGTAATATTATCCCGACTTTTCTACAACACGGTAACGAAAGTGGGCGAAATCAGACAAAAACCACGCCTACTACCCATTAACACAATTTTAAATTCCATCTGATTCTTTCACTTTCCAGTATACAAATTAAGAACCAATCAATGTATGCGAATAAAACTTTGCTAGTGATTTTGAAGTGACCTTATGTCCAAAAATTGTCCAAATCAGACCAAAACTATTCAAGCCCCCAGATACCGAATATGTGGACGCCAGTTCCTATTGCGAACTTTTTACCGAAAATATCGGTCAACCTGTCAGATATTTTACTGAAATTTGAAAAGAATTTTTGCCAGCTTTGATACTTACAACCTGAGAGACTATAAAATGTTCGGTTACACCCGATATTAGCCTTTCTTACTTGTTAATAAACATTTTTTATTGTGTATATTTTATACATATTATTTTGAATTTTTCCGGCTTATAATTCATACGAAAAACTAAATTTTACTCGTACATAGTATGTAAATACTTTCGTATATACTTGTATTAATTACTCACCTCATAATTGCCATCCCAGTTATTGTACAACACTATATCCGGTACCCAAATATGTTCAGATGGCACATAAAGTTGTTCAACACCACCATATTCCTCAGGATCCCATCGTAATTTGTAATCGAACCAACGCTGTATATTTAGGTTTTATTAAAAAAAGTTAAAAGTTAAGGTTACAACAGTATTTCAGCATCGACCGTATGCTTGGAGCAGGTATAAAAGTTTGTTTTCCTCAGAACAACTTTTTCAAAAACAAAACATGTCAAAAACATAACCTAGCTCGATAAATTTTTTCCGATTGACTTGAAAAAAATTACAGTATTTTTTAAACAACATTTTCAAACGAAAGACATGGAGATTTATTATGTTGCATAATTAATTTGTTATAAACATTTCCCTAGGTCTATCTCGTATTTTACTTAAACCATATCAAAAAACACGTTAACTTTGGTGGCAACGAAGCTATAATACCCTTTACAAATACAAAAGATTCGTAACACTAACTTAATTTTGATTGATCAGTTTCTATGGCAGCTATCTGCTATAGTGACTCGATCTGAACAATTGCTTCGGAAGATACACAGAACTGGACAATAAACTATTCCAAATTTGGTGAAGATACATTGTCAAAAGAAAAAGTTTTCTATACAAAAAATTGATTCCGATCGTTCAGTTAGTATGGCAGCTATAAGCTATAGCGATCCGATTTGAACAATTTCATTGATTCTATCATTGCCTTATATAATAATGTATGCCAATTTTTTGGAGATATCTCGTCAAATGAAAAACCTTTCATTACAAGCACTTGATTTCGATCGTTCAATTTTAAGGCAGCTATATGCTATAGTAGTCCTATATCGTAAACAACTCTTGTATGAAAATAAAATTCACGTAATTAGACACGAGTTATTTTCTAAGGCAACAATGCAATCTCCGAAGAAATCGTACAGATCAGATCGCTATATAATATAGCTGCCATACAAAATGAACGATCGGAATCCAGTTCTTGTAAGGAACCTTTATAATTGTAAAGGGTATTATAGCTTCGGTGCAACCGAATTCAACGTTTTTTCTTGTTTTTAATTTATAAAACGTAAACTTTTTTTACCGACGGGCAACCCTCGACAGCCATTATCTAACGAACGGGTATAGTTTTAAGATGAAAATAGTTTTCATTAAATCAATCAGACGATCTGAAAAGGAAATTGTATATCTGATCTAAAGCGGCACTATGTTTTACCAGTATGGCAACAGTCAATAAGGGACGAGACACCATATGGCTATTCCAACGAATATAAAGAAGACCAACTCCATTATCTTAATCTGGAATTTATCAGCTTTTGAACTAGCTTAGTTATTAGATCTGTACGTATGTTCTCTTTACAACTCAAAACGACTGCCACTACTTTTTTTGTGATCATCTACGGTTGATGTTTGAGAGCCTCGGTATAACCACCAAATTTATTTTCACATCTTTATAAAGCCGTTTTACGGGCTTTAGGAAGGCAGTTGCATCTAGGAACGCACGCTCTGCAAAAATTTGATTCAGCTGTGGATATCTATAAGCCCTTAAGAATTTTTATTGGAACAGCATACCTAAAATAACTATAATAAGATATTGATATGACAGTCTTTTTTGGAGTTCGAAGCAAGAACTGTAATATTCCAAACCAAGCTAATAGGCTCGAGGAAGATTTTGCATGTAAAATACGTTCGTTTGTATTGTCTGCGAAGAGACGGCCTGGATACAAAAATACAACTTATAAATTTTTGGACTAAGCCTTCGCCACCGGTAGTGGCCTAAAGGCCAAGCGACATATTAATAATCATATATACGCAATTTTATATAAACTGAAATATACTTTTTACATGCACGGTTCGAGGTATGTTCAAAAAATTACGGGAATTCCAAAATTTCGCGAGAGTCCAATTGTCAAATTTTTTTATTATGTTGCTATACGAGTATGTACAGGCTCCTGAAGTACGATTAAATTTTCAGCTGTATCCATCGCTTAATTTTGTCTGTAGCAGCCGCTAAGGTTCGACATGTTTTTATGAGCTTGGCGATTTGCGTTTGTTAAAAATGGATAGAAATGGATAAAAAAATTTGTTCGTGAATTCATGGCCAAAAACAATACTGTAACGATGCCCCAGCCTCCATATTCGCCAGACATAACTCCGGGTAACTTTTTCCTATTTCCAAAAATAAAAAGAACCTTAAAGGGCTAAGGGCTATCCCAAAACATGAGATTGAGAATTGTTTCGACGATTGGAAGAAGCGCTGGCATTAGTGCCAAATATCGAAAGGGTATTATTTTGAAGGCGACAACACTAATGAGACAAATGAATACATTTATTATTATTTTTTTTTTTAAATAAAAATTCCCGTTATTTTTGCAACACACCTCGTATATAGATTACGTTATCGAAGAAAAATATTTATTTATTTGCTATAATTGGCGAAAAAGTGCCAATTTCGATGTATCTACTCACCTGCTTCACCCACAAATTGGTGGTCATAACTTGATTTCGCAAATTCACCTCGATGAGTTGGGACAACTTTAAACCTAACCATACTGTCAATGTTTCAGTATTATTGACAACAGGGCGTATGAGTCGATTGTAATTACTCAATAAATCATCATAAAGACGTTTCGTGTCTGGATTTGCCTCAAAACTGACAGGAGCTAAAAGTTAAGGGTATTTTAGAAAATTAATTTAATATCAAAATAAATTAGAATAATTTCAATTAAAAAGAAAAGTACAGCTTAGAACTGCAGTGTAAAAAATCGTTGCTAAAGTATTTGAAATAAATATGCTTAAATACTTAAAAGCTTCTCCCAATAAGAACACACCTGATAAGCACGTCAGCTGAGCACGTGCCAAACGTAAACAAAAACATGAGCAATATGTAAATAATAAACATAAAAACTTCCCAAACAAACTTAAACTACAGTGTAAATTTATTGTATCCAACTGCAAAAAATAACCCAAAACAGAGTAAATCAACGCATGCGCACGAGCTAATGTCAAACTGACAGCTGTCAGCAATATGAACTACCCCTAGCACATAAGAATTGCAAAAAAGTATACAGAATATAAATGCATAGAATTCTTCCACACCCCAAAAAAATAAGTAAAGTTTTCGTTTATTTGTTTTTCTTCTTGCCACTCACGCGTTGCACTGCTGTAGGCAAAGAGGAGTAAAAAATGCACAAAAACTACTTTTAACATCTTCGCGAGTAGCCAACGTTATCTAATTTATTATTTTACACATTAAAATTGTACAAAATTGCTTCACATATTTTTCTAACACTAAAAATTATTGCCACTGACGAACGCAGTCCAAGCGCTTAGGATGCGCTCTTTTACAGGACTAAAGTTTTTGCGTGCGCCGAGCTGTGCGGATGCTGTATCGGCATCTAGATGACATTTGAAGTAAGGGAAATTTCCCTTAAAGCAGGTTTTGACAACAATACTTGTATTAACGAGTTTTTAGTTCGAATTCTTATACAAATTTTGCACTTGCGTAGAATTAATAATACCGAACTTGTTTAAATGCATATTATATTATATGTACTTATATACTTGTATTTATATTTTTTAACGTTTTTTCAAGTATCTTCAACATATTGTATTTTGAAAACATAATGGACATTTTGTGAATTAAAATACTTCATATTATGCAAGTCTGTTATTTTTTAAGGCATTCAACAGGAAAATATATAGGTGCGTCATGAACGAAGAAGGGGTGATGTTTTGTTTACAATTGCTAGAAAAATTTGACGCTGGAGCTAGATATACCTTTACCCAATTACGTAATAACTTAGTACTGGTGCCCTTAAGCAGACCACTCAAACTTAGTACAGTCATAATCACCATTGAAAGGTTTAAAAGAGATCGTATTTCATCCGCCTAACAGGGTATATATGTATGATATACGTATTATTCGACGAAATAAAAAATCGGTTAATAATCACGACCACCTCGTATGTAACGGAATTGTCAAACTACGTAAAGTGCGATAACTTTGACGGATAACTCCAGAAATAGGCAAACATTTTGTGACTGTGAATGCCATCTTATGTACTCTTTACATATTTCCGTTATCCGCAATAATCAGGTCAACGGAAACCGATTCATAAGTCGCTCATGCCTTCCATATGCGTTGCTATTTATGCAACTACAAAAAAAATTACATCAAGAACTTTAAAGCATTGGGTCCACAAAATCCTAGTAAACCACCAACTGAAGCGTTAAATCCGGTAATCCGCGCGATTTCCATGCTTCAGGATTCAATTGCGTCACATCGTTCACATTTTATAGTTCTTCCTCCTTCCTGCTTCTGTATTTGGCTTTCGTGTTGCTCACAGAAGATACCCATCAACTTTCACACAGCGCAAGACCCTGACTTAACTCAGTTACCTTTTCCATAAGAAGAAACATGTCGAACATCACCTCGGTCCTCTAAGATGAGTTTTAGGCAGTGGTTATTTACCAAATGCAGCAACGTTAAGCGATAAGCATTTCATGAACTACCCTTTCCTATTATTTCACCCCCTCAAGCGAAAAGCTACATTGTTGCTTGGCGACCATTGTCAGCGTTTGGGCCAAACAAAATTAATTTGTATATATTTTCAGGAAGTGTGGATTTCTTTTTTATTTACAATAATGTGTGCTTTTTGATTTGCACACGATAATGGCAAAAAATTTCAATTACAATTATCCACAAGTTGCGCGTGAAGCCGGTTTTAAGTTGCGGCAATACAAAGATGGACCGATCGACTGGCGTATCTTAGGTAGGCAAATGTAAATCGTAATTACAAACGCAATCCAAACAACAATTTGTATTCGTAGGATCCATCGAAATTGAACGTCTACTGCAGGATCAACGAATCGAGCAGGTGGATGCATTGTTGGCGCATCTCTCCGAAGCGCCTTTAGCCACAATCTTGGATACAAATATATTGGATAGTGGTATAGCCAAGTATTTCATAGTCTCGCAGTTCGCCATACAATATTTGCTCTTCTGTCGTAAGTTTCTCGATGAAACTATATGTGAGTTGCGCGAGGCGCACGCCGAATCCCAAATGGATGTTGCAAAATTGCGAAAATCACTTGCTGAAGCGAATAATGAGATCTTACAGCTACATAAAAAGATCACACAAATCGAGGCAATACACGAAGTGGTATATCCATGTCATCTCTGTACTAAGAGCTTCATCAGCAACGACGCGCTGAATATACACATCAGTCGACGTCACGGCGTGCGGACAACAAACAATGTAGCAGTTCTGGGAAGGACTACTAACGGTAATGACACTGGAATTTCTGAACGGCATACCGAGACTTCCGCCGGCACCAAAGAGCACAATGATTTACAATTGATAAACGCCATCAAATTGGAGCTGGAAATTAAGCAACTTAAAGAGCGCCTTAACAATGCGGAACGCGATATCCGTGAACGCAATATGACAGCGTCAAACAGCAGCAGACGTGGTACGCCACGTGAACCAACGAAAACTGTTAAGAGCATCGCTATACAGAGTGAATTGTTGGAGATTAAAGAACAAGATGACGGCGCAGATGCGACCTTAAATAGCGCCAGCACCGACAGCAGCGAGATGAGAGAACGCAAAGCACAGTTAAACAAGTTGCAGACAAAAATACAAGAATTTGAAGCGTGGCGCCAAATGCAGCAAACCAATAATGAAGAGTCCATTGCTGAAATTAATCGGAAGCTTGGCGAAATCGTGCACACATTGGAAGAGACAAAAGCCGCACCGATTGTGACAACAGTGACTGCGACCTGCGAACCCAAAGTGGAGGAGGAACGCATAGATGCAGCCACCTTGCCAAGACATGGTTCTCCCTCAGTGGAAGATCTCGAGCGCTTGTTAACGCAGAAAGTTGTTGAAATCGGACAAAAAAGCGCTGAAAAGCTGGAAGAGTTCGTACATAACATGGAAGCTAACTATAAAGAGAAACTGGACGAACTTGAACGCGAAATAAAGAGGCGCAACGCTGCTGAACTTAGGATAGTGAGCGAAAAGAAAACTACAGTTGATGCAACACAGGAAACGAAAAACGCAGAAGTGAAAACTATCACACGCATAGCTTCCATTGCGGAAACGAGTGTACCACAAGGCGATATAACATATACAGCATTTAATCCCACGGATAGTGATTCTAGTCTAGGTGCTGAACCGAAGCCTGAAGCAGCGAAGCGTATGCCACGCATGAGACGAAGCATAAATACGGTTTCGGAAGTCGTTGCACCAAATAAGGTCAAGCACATTGATGAAACGTATTTAATATTGGATGAAGCAGTTAGACAGGGGACGTCAGCAGGGAAGCCGAAACCAAGAGTGCGTACAATTAAAAGTGCTGAAACAGCATTGACAGACAAGAAGAATATGCAAGGCGAAGAATTGTATTCGCTGAGCGCGGAAAGCAATAGAACGTTTGTAAAGCCGGAGAATGCGGATTTGGTATTTGAAGAAAAAGGTATGTAGTGTTTTACCAACTATATTGTTGTTATTGTTGAAAATTAATTTACAATTTACAGTCGAAAACGACAGCACGGACATCGCAGAGAGCTTAAGTAGTGAGAGTGAAGAAAGTAGCAGTAAAACGGAACTAACTCCAACTATTCAGAAACCGGCAAATGTCAAAGGAAAAAAAAAACTAGATATTGTGAAAAACCCTAAGTAAACCCAATGACAAATAGTTCCTGACTAAAATTTCTTTATATCTGCATATTTTTTCTTATACTTAGAGCACCGCCGAAACCGAAAATATTCACACGAAACGATGCTCAGAGAATGGTAAATAAACGCTTAATTGCGGCCGGCTTGGAACCGAAAGTAAATGCCATATCCACAGCGTATCGCCAACGCATGAATTCGGAACTAGTTGACAAACGGCAAAAATTAAAGCAGGTATGTTACATGCAATAATATATTAAGTTTACCACGTAGTTTGTAATATCCAGAAGGAAACGTAAAGGAAAATATATATGTATATAAATAGGCTTTCCGTCTGTCTGTATATACACGAACTGTTCCCTCAATTTTTGAGATATCGATTTGAAATTTTGCACACATCCTCTTTTCCCCATTCGGATCACGATAGCATATAGCTACCATAATAACTGAACGATAAAATACATGTCCTTGTATGGAAAACTTTATCTTTACAAAATTTGGAATGGATTATTGTTCAAAGCAACGTATTGTAACTTCGATGCAATCGTTTTTTTATTTATGTGCAAATATTTAAATTTTGTTTTTTCCCTACACACAGAAATATGCCAACTTTAATGCAACGCGTAACAAAATCAAGAAGCTGGTGGATAAGCTATGCTCAACAAAACTTCCCGCGCCCGTTAAAGATATGTTGATGCACACCAAACCAATAAAGCCGAAAACGACTTACGATGTAGCGCCACAGAAGCGCGGTGACGTACAAGTCTCCACAGAATTAGAAAGCTTTGAAACACTTGAGTTGACGTCCACGCCCATCCAAACTACACAGACTATGCGTGAAAAAGACGCATTCAAACAACGTTTAGAACGTATACTCGCCTCTCCCATGCGACAGCCCAATGTCGACGATATAAATGTCGATAATCAGCAATTAGCGACTGCACAAATACATACTGCTCCACCTGTGCCATTAACACGTAAACGTGTTATGTTTAATACACTTAGCCAAAACACTGATGGCAGTGGCGAGAGGGTTTAACCATTGATCATTAAATAGCGATATGCATATGTCTAAAACTCCAATGTTATATATACATACATACGTATTAAAAAAATAATAAAATGTGTATATTAATATCATTATACCTAAACTATTATAGGAATATTATATTAGCTGCGCTTGATTTTTGTATATTAAATCGGACACTAATTGATAAGGTATTATGTGTTGCGAACCAGCAGTCAAATCTACCTCCTCGTCATCAACGCCAACGACAACAGACGGAACTGAAAAATTTTTATTTATTTTACTTAAATCTCAAACTAATTACTGCAGACTTAAAATTACCATCCATATTAGCTTTAATGAATACGTGACTCATTAGATTCGGTCGCACTATGCGTTGTTCAGCTTCCGCACGCTGCATATTAGGCATGTACTGCAGCGCCACTTGCTGAAAGTACTGTTCAACGTTATCAGCAAACTCTTGCGCATACTTGAACTCTTCCGGTGAAAGTCGCTTTTCAGCAACTTCTCTAGCTTCCTCTTCGTTAAGAATATGTCTAGTGTAGGTTTCTATTTTTTGTAAGCGACAGCGTAAATAACTAGCCATCACATATCGTATACGTTCCAACTCCATTTGATGTACGATAAATCGAAAGTCATTTTTATCTAAATCCTTCATATTCTCCTCCATATGTGCCACCTGTCCCAGCATCAGCTCCAACATGTCGGTTTGATGTTGAAGAACTTCTGGTGCACATAATTCATTTTGCCAAGCCGTTTCAACAATTTCCAAGACCTGTGAGTAAAAATATAAGAAAAATTGTAGAGGCAAAATTATCTTGACACCTTCTGAGCTGTTATCAGTTCCTCCTCGTCAGCCGGGTCTTCAAAATCCTCATTGTGCTCCAAATCGCTTAGCGGTGGAATAAGATCGCCTTCAGACATTATTATTATGAAAATGTATTTTGTGGAGTTTATTATTTGACTATATACATATAAGTTATGGCGCGCAAATGTAAATTAAATGAAATAAAGTACAAAAAAATAGGGTTTTGTCAGAGATAAAGTTTTGTTTTGGATGATTGATTAACCCTTGTTGAGTAGTCTCGAAAATTATGTCATTACAATCAGCTGTTTCAGTCAAATGTTCATACCATCGTAAAAGGGTCATCGTACCATGGTTCATACAGACATAAATTAACGCCGATTCCAAAACTTCATACATTATTGATTAATATTAATAAATATATATTTAATATGTGAAGTATTTTTTATTTATATTTTTAATATAAATAAAATTTAACATACCAATCAATTAATTATTCTTTACAATACGATTTGATAGTGATTTCTATTCTGTATGCAACCCTGCTAACACATGTGCTTGAGTTTGTTTTGACAATTGTGCTACAAGATCATTTTTCCAAACAAACCTCTGGATCCAGACATGGCCCAAACAGATTTCCAGAAGAATTTTCGTTTGGTTTTGGAGAAAATCTTTAACAACTGGCAAAATTTGAGGCTAGCTGTTGAACATGGAATGGGTGGACGTAATGGACAACAAGTACAATGAATATCAATACGTTAAATATATAAAGATGCGTAATGAATTATTGGATTTCTTTCTCAGCTAGCAATTGAAATTATGGACTACACATACAAATATTGCATAGGCAATGAAAGCATAACACAGGGCGAGCTGCAAGATGTTTTGGAAGACTTGTTAGATCAGGAATTCGACACAATCTGTGATGACAACTCAATTCCAGGTAAGCCTATGGGATTTTAATTAAGGACAAAAAAAATACTGTTTGTTATATTTCCAGAGATCTGCCGTAATTTATTGCGCTACAAAGTGCTCTGTCTTAAAGGAGAGTATGCGCAAATTGAAAGCGAATTAAGCAAACTGCCACAGGGCAAAGACTGGCTACGCCCAGATGTAAAAATTGTGTATACACCGGTTGCAGGGGAAGATTCATCTTCAGATGAAGATGATGAGAGTGGTGACTCAGAGGATGGTATGGAAGTAGACGAAGAAGACAGTGATTTGGCCAGTTGTAGTCGTGTAACACGATCACAAACACGCAAAAAACAAGAGGAAGAATTCGTAGAACCTGAACCTGGCTGGACAACTGTGCGTACTAGAAGGAAATAGTATATAATCGTAAAGAAATTTCACATAATTTAACTACCGTAGTTAAATAAACAAGTTAACGTATGTTATAATTTAAAATGAAAACTCAAAATGTTGGTGCATTTATTTATGGTTTATTTTAATCCATAATACTCCGGTTAACATCTTGTAAATCTAAAAATCGTAACGTTGATATCTGTTCATGCGCAGCTGGTAGTTGATGCCTGCCTTGACAAAATCTACAATTTGATAACACTTTACGCTCTTTTCGCGGTGTCACTTGTATATTATGCCGCACTCTAGACCACAAACTTTTATGCAATGGTTTTGCATCTATATTTATTTCTGCATGTCGAAGTAATAAAGCTGTATCCATCACAGACTCCAGTTGATCTACATTAGGTGTCATCGATAGTCCTATTCCGGGGTATATGAAGAACTCAAAGAAGAACATGCCCATAAGTATGAGTATAGGAAGATATGCAGCAAAGTATTTATCGGGTAGGTAGTTCAAACCCCAGCTCTCAGTTGGAAGCAATGCCCACATTACATACAAAATGAAAAGGGTAAGAAATAGTAAATAAAAACTAAAACCATAGACTGCTCTATGTGGAGTTGGTGCTGGAGTGTGCTCCGGCATTGTCGTTGTCAGAGGTTATTAGCTCAAATTCTTTTATTGTATCCGTACAAAGTAGGAGAGCACCGAAAAATGATGTGATTGCAGTGCGAAGATTTTTTACTTGGTCGGCAATAAAATGTACTTCTATTTGATCACCCACTAAACGGAGCTCCTTTTTGACAAAATTGCGACGTGGTTCTTCATCCACACATAACACACGATATGCAATTTCTGCACTCTTGGCTGTTTCGAATGGAATTTTTAAAATCCTGAAAATTAACCAAGAATATTAGGCAATGTATTAACACAACAATACACTTAAACATACGCTTCAGTAGTTTTGTTCTCTGTATGTTCATCAGATCCCGAATCTGTTGATGGTTGCATATTTAACTTGTTACTATTTATCACAATTACTATTTAACTCGCACTTATCATGGTGTATATAAACATGCGAGGATCTTTATTAATTCAGAAAATAGGGTTCACAATATGAAATGAAACTACCATATACAACAAAAAATTTTAAAAGCATTGCATGAAACATAGTTTAATTTTTTATATATAGCTCATTTTTGTCACAAATACTTATCAAGAGTTTTAATAAAAGGATAATGTCTACAAAAGATCAAACATTAAAAAAAACATAATGATAGACCCTCTTAAAAGTTATTAAATTATACGCCCTGTGCCGTCAAAATTGTACAAACAAAATATTTGACAAGTAATTTGTTGACATCATTCGTTGAAAATATCTGCAATTTTACAATTACCGCTTACAAACTTAATCAACAATGGAAGCATTAGATTTACTTGAAAAACGTATTGATACACTATCGCGAATGTTGGGTCCACTTCCCGACGAAGGAAACACAGCTACAGCTAGTGCTGACTCCGATTCAAACAAACCACCAGCCGCACCCGAGACAGTTGTCGACTCATTGCTCACAGTGAATAGTATGCTAAGTGGGGTTATTGGTAACCGTGAACAAATTGCCAAAACAATTGCTCGTGCTCCTGAGCTTGAAAAATATTTGGATCCAAATTTTTTAGAAGAGAATCAACAAGTTCGTTCAAAAGAAGTCTATTTAAATGCTATAGGCCCAGACTTGCATGTACAATGCGCACTGTTGGATCGTGTAAAACAACTTGAACCGACATTAGGCGCTGAATATTTCCGCAGTATACCAGGTGAATGTACCGATAAATTGAAACAGTATTCACAAGATAACACTGAGTTCGCTCATCAAGCTGAGTTAATAGAGGAGAGTTTAATTTTGGCTATGAAACGTTATGGGGAAATACAAACCGGTCTTTTGGAATCGCTTGGAACCATGAATAATCGCCTGGAAGCGATAGAAGAAAAAATGGAGCAAAAGAAGCGGGCCGAAGCTGAAAAAGAGCTACCCTCTCCCAAAGAGTGAATACTTTAGTCCTATTTCAATTTGAATTCGTATATTTTTAAGTTTCAATGAGCCGAGATTAAAGTTCATAGATATGTATTAATTTGTATTTTATATATAGTGTTTATTCTGATTATTTCTAAGCCCATGTCCATCGCTCTGTCTGTTAAATATAATTTAAAAAAAAAATGGTTAACCTCAAACATTTATTAATTCGGCAATTAGTTTTTGTGTGTTCTTTTAATATTTTATTTTTCTAATTATCAGACTGTCTACACCTACACAGGGATCTTGTATTTTACTCTTCTTCTTCTTTATCTTTACGATGAGATTTTTTTTTGTCACTACGATTTGTTGAAGATGTGCTACTTGTTTTACTGCTTCTCTCACGCTCTTTTTCACGAGATTTTGAGCGACGACGAGTTTTTTCACGGCTACGCGAGCGTTCTCGCCGCGACCTGAAAACGGGACTTCATTCATTCTTTATTTAATTTGTAAATAAATAAACATTATCACCTTTCTCGTTCACGATCTCGTTCTCGATCGCGTCGTCTTCGCTCACGTTCTTCATCTACCACACGATCAGTATCCTATATGACAGAAAAAAAAGTCCATTAAAAAATTATTTGAAGATTTCCTTTTTAGTGAATCTTACATCAAGTTTTTCACTCCTGTCTCGTTCTCTTTCTCGCTCGGATTCTCGGTCACGTTCACGTTCTCTGTCTCGTTCGCGGTCACGCTCTTTTTCACGCGATTTCGATCTTCGTCGGATTTTTTCACGGCTACGTGAACGTTCACGGCGTGGTCTACAAAATATATTATTATATAATATAATTTTAATTTGCTTAAATTCTCTTACCTTTCACGTTCTCTTTCTCTCTCTCTTTCACGTTCCCGTTCTCTTTCATTTTCTCGATCTCTATCACGGTCGCGATCCCTATCTCTGTCCCTTCGGTCCGTACGCTCATATTCCCGTTCCCTTTCACGCTCACGCTCGTGCCGTTCGCGATCCATATGGCCGGGATTTGGTGGCCCACCACCATGTGGTACCATCATACGTGGTGGTCCCATTGGCATTCTCATCGGTGGCGCTCCTCCGGGACCCATCATTATTCCCATACCTGGTGGAGGGGGTCCCATGCCTGAATTTTAGATTGTAGATTACTAATGGGAGTTTAGATTCTAACAAGGTCAAAGTACTTACCCATATTTGGTGGAGGCATTCCAGGTAATAACGGTGGATGTTGACGCATTTGTGGGGGCGGTCCACCAATTTGTGGTGGGGGGACACCCATTGGTGGTACACCTGGTGGCCCAGCCATTCCAGCTGCAGGTGGAGGTGCCATACTAGGCCCGGGCGTCAACTCTTTTATACCTGAAGGCATCCAATTCGGATTTTCGTTATTCCATTGTGACTCTTGGGTCGGCTCATAACCATAGTCGAATGTTTCGGGTTCCGGAAAATACGGTTCGTCATTAGGTGGTGGCGCACCAAAATTTGTTGGTATTTGTGATACCGCACCTGGACGTGAATATTCACGACATTCAGCAGTCATTACTTGAATAGGGTTCTCTTTACTGCTCGTACTGGCAATTGGTCTTGGCCCACGCGGCATACCCATACCCATTCGAGGTGGTCCATGGTGCATACCTTGAGGTGGCGGCAAAATTCCTGGTGGTGGCAATTGCATCTGCTCCGGCATCATCCCTTGTGTCATTGTGCCAATCGGTGCACCATTTGCAGGAAGGTCATGCTGCCTTTCACCAGATTGATTTATGTTTTGTGTTAAGCTTGCCAAGCCAACACCACTTTCTTGAATACGAAATCTTTTTTGTCGTTCACAATAAGCACGCCAGGTTTCTTCGTTGAATCCGTAATTAAAATAATCTGTTATATCCGCTCCAGGTTTTCGCCACGGTTTATCTTCTAAGGAATCAATACTAAATTCATGTGCTGGGACACCATTTATTGTACCAACGCCTTCAAAATCTTCAACACTAAATTTTCCGCCTGGCGCCCCAGACTTGGTCTTCTCTTGACCTGATCCTGGTGGTCCGCCCAATAAATTTGCTCGCTGCTTAATATTATATGTGCTGGGTGCTGCTTTTATATCACCAATTACCACATTAATATCATCGTCGGAATCGTCGTCATCATCCGAATTCGCTTCACCATCTTCCGAACTTTTCGACTAAAAATTTATGAACATCAATATAATATATGCACCAATTTTTTTTTTTTTTTACTTTTAAATGTTTACCTTTTGTGCGTTTTCGCCCGCATCGTCGTCCCCATCAGTAGTATCAGCTACTGTGCCAGCAGCTGCCACCGCGGCTTCTTCATCTTCTTCCATTTCTTGTGCTGGATCTTCGAATTCTCCAAATGGCTCCTCTTCATCATGAGATCCAGCCAGTGTTGGCACTGTTGCTTCACTTGCTCCCCCCAAAGCTGTTGCTTCATTTTCTGATTTTTGCGAAAGCAGCGGCCTTTCATCGCCAATGCCGGCTGCCGTCTCAACATTCTCTTCATTTGTTGTAGAATCAGGATTCGATGTGCCATAAAGCCAGCTATCCTCATTGGTATCATCGGCCATTATTTTTTTATATGCTTAAGCCTTTGCCACCAAATATTTTTAGAGAAAATAGATAAACTGTCACTAAAATGCGTTTATTAAAGTTTCTCGTCAAAGTAATACACTTAAATAAATGTGCCTAATCGTTCAAGGCACAGGGCGACCATATATTCTAATTCAACGCAGTATGTATTAATAAAACTGTTATACACGCGATTGGTTTATTTTCCCAAAAGTTCTTTCGGCTTTTCATTAAAAATATTTCATAACATCAAACCTTTATGAAAGTTAATGAAAGTTTTCTTTTAAAACTTTGAAAGTTTCTTTAAAAAACTTAATTTATTAATACATTAATTGAATGTATTTTGTTATATGCATATATATGTGTATATATGTACATACAGTCAAGGAAAAAAGTCTATATACAAGCTTCGATTTAGCGATTTTGGCAAATCTGTTCCGAAAATCAAAAAAGTCCTTATGTCAATATTTAGGCCGTTATGAAATAAGAATATAAGTGGGAACTTTTCTCTTTTTTTAAACAACACTCACAATTACTGTGGGAAAATATAATAATTAGTGGGAAGAAAGTCTACATACTCCCGTCATTGAATTCAAAAGTGAAAAAAAGAGAATTCCCCGTGTATATTAGTTATTAAAGAGCACTATTTTACAAGTTTCAATAAAAATTGTATAATTTAAATGGCAAACCGTAAAGAAATACACATTTCAGTTCGAAATATTAATTTCCGAAATGAAAAGAAATCTTATTTGAAAATTGCTAAAACTGTAAGATTAAGCCCTTATAAAACTACAATAATACAAACAGTATCAAAAATATGCCACGATCCGGCCGACCCAGAAAGCTTCCGCGGCGATACGTAAGTTCCATTATAAAAGAAGTCAACAATGATCCGAAAATAAGTACCTCAAAGTTGACGGATCGCATTGAAAAATGTTCGCATATTAATGTACATTGAAGAACTGTACGTAATATGTTACGTGATTGTGGATATAAAAGTAGAGTAGCACGCAAAAAACATCTAGTTCCTGCGAAAAATCGTAAACTTCGCCTTGACTTTGCTAAATCACATCTTGAAAGATACGTTTTACCGACGAAAGTAAGTATGATATTTTTGGAAGTGATGGCCGATCCAAAGTTTGGAGAAAACCAAATACTGCGCTTGATATGAAGAATATTATACGTACAGTCAAACATGGAGAAGGCAACGTTATGGTTTGACGTGCCATGGCATCAGCTGGAGGTGGACGTTTGGTTTTTATAAAGGGTACTTTTTAAAAAGTTTGGGTTTTGGAAAAGCATTGGATTTTTCAACATGACGCGCACGACGCACGTTGTTCGAGATTGGCTTCTAGATAATACCCACAACTAAATTCACCACTACAGTCACCAGATGTAAATCCGATCGAACATATTTGGGACGTTCTAGAAAAGAAAATATGCTAATATGATATCAGCAGCCGTGAAACCCTAAAAACTGCCCTTGCCCGAGCTTGGGCCGAAATTTCTCCCGATGTAACTGAAAATTTGGTGAATTCAATGCCCCGACGTCTACAAGCAGTGATTGATGCCCAAGGTGGACCAACCAAATACTAAGATTTAAAAACAATTTTTTGCAAAAAAAATTTTATATTTTTGTGGTAGCTGTATGAAGACTTTTTCCTGATGATTTTCTATGTTTTGATTATTTTTGTTATTGCAATATATTAATTACTTGTTCCGCAAATCAACTTTTTTAACAATGTCTTAAATATTGACATAAGGACTTTTTTTTTATTTTCGTAGCAGATTTGCCAAAATCGCAAAATCGAAGGGTGTATGTAGACTTTTTTCCTTGACTGTAAGTATGTATGTATGTATCTATTTAATTGAAATTTTTGTATGTAATACACTAAGTTTTTAATCGATTTGATGTTTCTAATCAATAACTACTTGCAATGTCTTTTTTTTTATAGTAAAGTTAATGAATTTGTTGTTTGCGCAAACGTAAAATATAATAATCCATTAGATACTGTGTGTGCAGTATAAAAAAAAAGAATCTCTGGAGATAAAATATTATTTCCAAAATAAAAAAGTTCATTTATATAATTATTTGTCATTAAATTCCATGAGTTACGGAGAATGTGTCCTATCAGCATCAAATCAACCCGCTCACAGCTTTAACATCTCTTCACTTATCATTCTATAAAAGCTTTAAATTGCTTCTGATTTTACTTTTAAAAATCATTATTGTCTCAATTCATTGTTCAAAGCGCTATTGAACAGTCGAAAATCTAAGCTGTAAAGCAATTTTTTAACTTTCGATAAATTGTTAGATTGAGTGGTTTCAAAATTATAATATAATAAGTGCAATTAAAACAAAAAGCCCTTAATTTATAAACGAATAATTAGCAGAATGCGTTTGAAAGTTAGGTAAGTTTTTTAAAATGCCAAAAACTCTTTTATTGAGGCTCAACATTTACATAAACAATATGTTTTAATATATAATTAAATATAGTAAAATTAGCAATTGTTATAAAAAATTTATAATTTTAATAAATATACATATATTTTTTATTAATACGAAAATCACAGTTTGTAAATTTTAAACATAATTAATACATATCACAGATCAGTAAAAAACAATATAAATAAATTTCCATTGCTAAATTAACGAAAACATTTTTTTAGAGTTGCGTACTATTATTACTATTGCGTACTATATTTGTTTATTTTTTTTTTATCGAAATTAAAATAATTTGTCTACTTATTGCTTGTGCTGTGGTTGAATAAAAGCAATATGAAAAAAACCTTTTCGAAATACATAAAATGGATTTTTATTAAAAATCTTGTTGTTTCATTTATCTACTATATGTGCACATATATTTGTATAATAAAGTAAGTTTGTCACATGTAATGACCTCTCTAAATAGCCTGCTTCCTTGCTTTTGTTGTTCCATGACGCACGGGGTATACTCGCACACACGCTATTTAGTCTATGACGTCAGTATGATATGTTACTTATCTGCTTGAATATTTAAAACGTAATAAAAACAATGTGCGTTATTAAAAGCATGTTTTCGAGTAGAATTTCATAACAACGAAAGAGCATCTCCAATACTATTATTTAATAAATAATCATATTTTATTTACATTTGTAACTATGTATGTATGTATGTTTTGTATATAAATCGCTTTATGATTTATCTCAGTAGTAGTTCTCTTATCAATGTCTTCCCCCGACCTTAGAAGGCTGATGAAAGATTATTCTACTAATTGTCTAAATGATATGTATGTAAATATACATGAACATACGTACATACATATATGCCAGCCTGTTTAAGGCATTTAAAGCCAAAAATAGTAGATTCATTTTGAAAGTATCATAAGTCAAAATAATATTTATTAAAAACGTTTAAATGAGTTTTTCCTTCTACTTCCTTAACGGTATTCTTGAAGTTATACCGCAAGTCGGTGAACTTTTTAAAAATACGAGTCACAAACATTATTAAAATATATTTTTGCTTACTTTTTATACCCTGAACAGACAATATTAAATTTGCAACGAAGTTTGTAACACCTAGTAGAAAAATTCTAAGACCCTAACAAATACTTTGTTCCCACGACAGTTGGATCTAAGTATCCGGAAAGGATCCGAATTTTCATCCGGCCAAGGACTTTCAACTCAGCATCGTTCCTCGAAATTCAGGAATGTTTTTGTCGCTACAACACAACAAAAAACACGAAAAGTATACATACATATATTATATTAAAGATCAGCGTGACGAGCTGAGTCGATTTAACCATGCCTGTCTGTTTTTATATACGTGAAATAGTCCCACAGTTTTTGAGATATCGATCTGAAAATTTGCACACATTTGGCAGAAGTTAACATTTTTCTTGTTTTAAACTTATTTGAAGTTAAAATGTTTTAGAGTTAAACATAAGCCTATGCATACATATATTTATGTTTGTATTTATATACATATGTACATATATGATACAACTTCCTGCGCTATATATTAAATAATACCAATATTTTGTCTAGTAAAACCTTTCATACATGCATATGTGTTTCTATGTGTAAATGCGCTTGTAATCTCGAATGCAAAATCTTATGACATTTCATCATCATTACATTTGTTTTTTCACCTCCTTATCATTAACAACAACAATCTTCATTGATTGGAAACCAAAAGTGGTCATATGAGATAGTCAATTTATTTAGTCTTGTCGATATCTATTCAAACAAACCAAGCTCAATATGAATTTCACACAGTACATATTTGTTAATTTTAAATAAGTTTTTATTAGGGATTGTAGGGAGAAGATTGAATTTATGTTTAATACATGGCGAGTTATTTATACATATATATAATATTTTTATACTCTCGCAACCTGTTGCTACAGAGTATAATAGTTTTGTTCACCTAACGGTTATTTGTATCACATAAAACTAATCGAGTTAGATATAGGGTTATATATATATAAATGATAAGGATGAAGAGACGAGTTGAAATCCAGGGGACTGTCTGTCCGTCCGTCCGGCTGACCGTCTGTCCGTCCGTGCAAGCTGTAACTTGAGTAATAATTTAGATATCTTTATGAAACTTGGTAGACATGTTTCTTGGTACCGTGAGACGGTTGGTATTGCAGATGGGCGTAATCGGACCACTGCCACGCCCACAAAACGCCAAAAACAAATAAATTGCCATAACTAAGCTCCGCAATAAGATACAAGACTGTTATTTGGTACACAGGATCACATTAGGGAGGGGCATCTGCAGTTAAAATTTTTTTTAAAGTGGGCGTGGTCCCGCCTCTAATAGGTTTAATGTGCATATCTCCTAAACCGCTAACGCTATAATAACAAAATTCACTGGAAGCAAATGTTTTTAGCACTTATATTGACGGTGTGAAAATAGTTGAAATCGGATGGCAACTCCGCCCACTCCCCATATAACAGTACTGTTAAAAACTACTAAAAGCGCGATAAATCAAGCACTAAACACGCCAGAGACATTAAAATGGCACAGCCCACTTTTAGGTGAAAACCCATATCTTGAGATCTGCTTAACCAATTTCAACAAAATTCGGTACATAACGTTATTTTCATATTTCTATATTATAGTGCGAAAATGGGCGAAATCGGACTACAACCACGCCTATTTCCCATATAACACCATTTTCAATTCCATCTGATTCTTTCACTAAGTACTAAATATGTGGACCCCAGTGCCTATAGTTGACCTTCTACCGAAAATATCAGTCAATCCACAAAGAAATCTCAAACGAGTGTACCATTTGACTTTGCGAGAGTATAAAATGTTCGGTTACATCCGAACTTAGCCCTTCCTTACTTGTTATTTATTTATTTATTAAAGGAAATACAATCATAAATAATTATACTACCTATAAAATATATATACATATATAATTAATTAATTTGATATGGCAGCACTACTTTGTAATTAAAAAAAAAAATTAAACTCAACTCATTTTGCGAACTATTGGATAAATTGAGTAAGAAATGTATGTGAGTAAAATGCTGATCGACGAAAAATTCATTTCCATGCTCATATGTGTGTTTATATACAAAATTTTGTTCATTGTTGTTGGTTCATGATATTAAATAACAAAGTGTTCTAACTTGTAAGCAGTTTCTTGTTCCCCTATTAATCTATTAACAAGCGTCACAATAGAGAGTCGACGGGTAATATGTACATACATATGTCTATACATATTTATATGTATCGACTTGATTTGAGCCAAGTGAATAGTTTGAGTCGAAAAAATTTCTGTCAATTTGCTACGTCGTGGTAAAGTGGAATTATAGTTTTCTGGTGTTGGTTGCCTTGTGAATTTGTGGATAAAATTTGACGACTGTTTGTTTTTAGGTTGTGATAAATGGCAGACATTGAAATAAGGTATTTAATTTTTTTTAAATAGACATATGTAATAAAAATGTTTAATCATAATACGATATACTCTAATATGTAATGTTCATTAACCAACTTTTTCATTTGACATGTTTTTATTGTCTTAGCGCATTTTAGCTGTGAAGCGTTTGAAATCGCGTGAGAAATGCGAATAAAACGTGCGCGCTTTGAACATATGTAGTATCGTATTGTTTTTGTAAATTACCTGTTTAAGAAGTGTATACACGAGGTTGGCCAACAACAATTTGACACCATGCAGTCAAATGTCAAAAAAACAGCTGTGTGTCGTTTTAGTTCTGTGTATATTTAATGTTTATCCCTGATTTAATGTTTTTACGTGTGAAAATTCGGTTTGCATTGCATATTTGCAATTGCTCAACACAACCAATTAGACTACTAAAGTGCAAACATTTGGCAAAGAGTTTTTCTTACAGCAGGTTTGTGTAAATAATATCTGTCTGGTTGAATATGAAAGAACTGTGTAGGCAAATTTTACACCTTCCTACAGCAACTTTTATCGTGTACAATATTGCTTATATACTCAATTCTCCCTGTTTTATGGGGACGGGCAAAAGTTTTAAATCGAACAACTAATATTAAAAATTATAATAAAAAAATGCTGAAAATATTTTAAACTATGTATAAAATTATACATACATATTTATATACAAAATTTAAATTTTAGAAATAAAACTTTTGAAAAAAATTAACAAATCTTGAGTAGGCACAATATTCATATTTTTTATAACATACGTTGTTATTGTTGTTGTGGTAGCGGCAGAATTCTGCCGCTTATAACATACGTATTTGTTGACGTCTGTTAAATTTAATCGACCTTCGTAAAGCAACTAAGAAATGTGATCAGATATATATTGTATAATGCTAAAACTTTTACTGCTATGTAAATATAGACGCAACAAATTTTGACTATCGAAACTTCTATACATTGAAAGAATTAGCATTGAAACTAACATACATATAAAGTTCCCTTGCGTTCGTATTTTCGAGGTTGCACTGTATCTACAAAAGCTCGTTTGACAAGATAACGCCCTACAAGAACAGTGACAGTCATCTGATCGGTAATATGACAGTCACAGCTGAAAATTTTTGTCAGCGCGTAGAACATAGTTTCTATAATTTTTTTAAGAGTTTTGTGCAAGAACTGATGTAAACAAACGCATGTGTGTGATTTAGCATCACTCTTATACTGCTCACTCTCTTGCCTTTACCTGAGTCATTGCTTTATCAAAGCTGAAAAAAACTTTTAATTAAATTTATTATAATAATATACATAAATATAAAAAAGAAGTACAACAAAAATATAATTAAATAATAAATTATGAAAATAAATTGTCACTTGATTCCATGCTTGCTCCTCTCAAACGCTCTGCTGTACGTGTTTCTCCAGTTCATGGATATTTCGGAATTTCAAAATGCCTAAATAAAAATATAATTTTATTTGAAACTTAATAATAACTTACTTATAATACATTTGAAAACTCCTTCGTTATTTATTTCTTTTTTTTACACAAAAAAAGTTGTTGCACAGGAGCACGCAACACTTTTGGTTTATGGCACGGAATAACAGCTACATAGGTATTTCACAAGTTCTCGAAACTTCTATGGAAAAGTATGCTGTCTCTTTTTGACGTATAGAATTTGCTTTTGAAAAAATTGTAAACATTGACAGTCATTTAATTGACTGTTCATTTGACTGTCAGTGGTGGCAGTACTAAAGAATGCAGCCTACAACCCTACAAGAAACCTTGTTTTGCGCGCTGACAAAATTTTTTCAGTTGTGACTGTCATATTACCGGTCAGATGACTGTCACTTGTAGGGTATATGTAATATTTCTGTATATGTATGTATTGTAAATTAATGATCGGCACTTTCGATAGATAAGTAAATGTAATCGTTTTCCTCATGACTAATACAATTTTTATACCCTGAACAGGGTATATTAAGTTTGCCACGAAGTTTGTAACACCCAGAAGGAAACGTCGGAGACCCTTTAAAATATATACATAAATGATCAGCATGATGAGCTGAGTTGATTTAGCCATGTCCGCCTGTCTGTCCGTCTGTCTGTATGTATACAAACTAGTTCCTCAGTTTTTAAGCTATCGATCTAAAATTTTGCACCTGTCCTTTTCTAACAAAAAAAATCCTCATTTGGCGGAACGGCCGATATCGGACCACTATAGCATATAGCTGCCATACAAACTGAACAATCGGAATCAAGAGTTAGTACGAGGTATCTTCACGAAATTTGGCACGGATTATTATTTAAGGCAACAATATAATCTCCGAAGAAATTATTTAGATCGGATGACTATAGCATATAGCTGCCATACAAACTGAACAATCGGAATGAAGTGCTTGTATGGAAAACTCTTTCATTTGACGAGGTATCTTCACGAAACTTGGCATGGATTATTATTTAAGGCAATAATCTAATCGCCAAAGAAATTGTATAGATGACTATAGCATATAGCTGCCATATTCGATCGGAGTAAAGTGCTTGCATGGAAGATTTGTTTATTTGACGAGGTATCTTCACGAAATTAGGCACGAGTTATCGCTTAAGACAACAAATTATTCTTCGGAATCAAGTTTTTGTAAGGGGCCTTTGTATTTGTGAAGGGTATTATAGCTTCGATGCAACTGAAGTTAACGTTTTTCTTGTTTTTAGTTTAATTCACTATAATAACAAAATACTACTGCCGTAGTATAATTGTATATGTATTATATATGAAAGTGTAAAGGAATATTTAATAATCTTTAGTAAAAGTAGCACTCATGTCTTATTGAAAGTATTAGCAATCCATTAATTGAATTGAAAAAAGTTATGTAGGAACATTTGTGTTTGCTTACAAACGTACTTTTTAAAGAGCGGAGTAATTTGCACGTTTTTATGGGAACAAACCTGTTAATATACAATAGTGTTATTAAACAAAGAACATTGAGAGAAAATTATTAATAGTGTGAAATCATGATACCGCAAAAATTACGTTCTCTCGAAAGCATTCATTTCGTTGCCTTCTACGAAATCATATGAAACACAATGTTGCCCTTTTTAATTTTTTCCTTTGTCTTGATTCTCCTTTCTTCATAATATGAAACCCGAAAATATTATATTAAATTGTTATTTCAAAAATACGAATTCGTTGTTGTTAATTTTGGCATGTTACAAATATTGAAATAATGTCGAAAAATTAAATTTGTATGCTGAAAACAATACAGCAACATGATCGTAGGTAGACCAATGTTCAAAGGGGAGCTTGAGGAAACCTAGTGAAAGATTTATGAATGAAATTAAATTATTGGAAACAGTTTTGTCGTCTTATGAATGGCGCTGAAATTTCACTGAAAGAGAATATAATTGACCGTTTAGTGTACTTGAGCGCATATTGTACTTTGCCAGGAAATATGAAATACTTTTTTTCAAGTGCAGAATGTTTTTTCGGATAGAAAATTTGAACAAAAAAATTAAACAAAGTAAATTTTCGTAAGAAATTCAATTGGAAAAAAACCCGTAAAGTAAAATAATTTTGCTGAAAATCTCCCTTGTTCTTTTGTTTGCATCACCTACAATTTTGGTATAGGGCATTGTCAATTTGCCGCTCTCTCGGAATAGCTACTATCATGGTATATCTCTGGTATTAAGTGTTTATTTGAATAAATGTGATTCACCGATTAAGTTCGTTACCTGTTTGCACGGTCGTAATTTTTACGAACAAACTAGCCGACCACATAAGCAATTGGAGAGAAATAACAACATCGGGGAAGAACCCATCTGAAATGGCGGTGCCTCAACACGATGAACAACGAATGAATCCAACAATATTCATTTTAATTTGATCACTTGATCAATTCAGTTGTTAATTGCGCAAAAATCTCAAACCTGCAAGACAAGTAGTTAAAATATTATAGACACATTTTTTTATTTAAACATATACTTGCATACATACATATGTATGTGTTTCAGTACTTTGAATTGTGCTTAGTGTTACAGTCAAGACAAAATAACGTTTGTGTTTCGTGTCGTAATCGTGACAACACGAAATTAGAAGTGATTCAACGTGGAATTTTATAAATATTAATACACACATATACATATACATGTATACTATATAACGATACAATTAAGACTCCTATGAATAGGAAAAGATAAACAATCAAAATATTCAAAATGATAAACGAGTACATAGATATGGATACGCACAGTATTCGCTACGTAAGCGAATCATCAAACGCCAGTACTAGTGGATATTCAACAATGTCACCTGGATATAGTAGCGTAAAGTCAACCCCACCGTCACCATCACAGTCTCCATCGTCGCAATTACGAACAGAATTTTCAAATATGAACTTGCCCTCGGAGTCTCCACACAATCAACCTTGTTACACCACATTGCAAAATGCAACTCTGTTGTACAACCAAAATGCTCATCCCTTAAATGCAACAAATAATTGTATGAATTTCGCACCGGTCATAGGAATGCCTTCAGCAATGGTTACATTACCACAGCATCAATACGGTGGACTTGCTGTACAATCATCTCATATGGTAACAAATATTTCTGGAGCGGCGATGAAAACAACAACATTAAATGGGAAATATCCTGCGGAACTGCGAATACTTGAACATCCCGTGGAAAAATTTCGTTTTCGATATAAATCTGAAATGCACGGAACACATGGTTCGTTGAATGGCGCCAATTCCAAGCGTACGCCAAAAACATTCCCCGAAGTAGAATTGTGTAATTTTAATGGTAAAGCTGTTATACGATGCAGTCTCTTTCAAACCAATCTGGAAAGTCCACACTCCCATCAATTGGTAGTGCGTAAAGATGATACCGACATTTGTGATCCACATAGTTTGATTGTTTCACCCGAGCGTGGTTATGTGGCACAATTTCAAAATATGGGAATTATACACACAGCAAAGAAGTTTATTTTTGACGAGTTATTAAATAAGAAGATG